CGGCAGCAGAGCAGAAAGCTGTGGAAGAGAAGGTTCATTCATGGAGGGAGTCGTTAGCACCCCGGGCCGTAACCGCTGTTGATAATGTCTAGCAGCTCTCGTGCTGTCATGAGCCTGCTAGGTCGTCCGCTTTGCGCTTTACGAATGACGCCTCGCATTGCATCTACAGATCTCGAGGCACCAATAATGCATTTCTAACATGATGCAAGACGGGATAGTAGAGTTGGCCATGGCAGTCGAGGGAACCCTGGCTGGCGCGCTGTCTCCTCGAACTCCCACGCACGTGTTTTGAAGCGATGCAATTGATAACTCGAACCACCGGTCGGTGTCCCGCACTCGCGGGGCACCTTGCCGTTTCCATTGCCCCACCACACTGCAAGAAGACCATCAGTTTTCTGACTTTTTGGGAACGAAAGACGGGTTACTGACTTCCCCGATTACAAAAGTGTGCCAGTTTTCGCAGTTGCCATCAGGCTCTCGGTAAGGAGGTGTGTTGCCAATTTGCTGTACTCCTTCAGGTACATATCCCTCTTTTGCGGCAATTTTCTCCGAACCACACCCTCGCGGCTTTCGTTCGGTCCATATTCATCGTTTTCTGCCGGGGAGCTACGCATATAAGTCCCCTCCAACTGAATGCTTTCACCCGGGCGGTCACGGTGGTGCCAGTGGCGCTTGCTTCTTCCTGTGCCCTATCGCTCAGCTCCTTTCGATGGGCGATGTCCAGCAGTCCTTCCCGAGCCAGTAGTGTGCGCTCAGCCACCCCCGCCCAGGCGACTCTCGATGACCTCCACCCTCGAGGCGATGCCCGAGGGGGATGCAGACGCCGCACGGCTCCTCGCTCTATACTTGCAGGCCTTGCCGTCGAGCTGGACAGCACCAAGCTCAAGCGGAGGAAGAAAATGAAGAAAAACACGTGCGTAAAGGCCCTCTGTGTTCGTTGTCGTTGTGATCCTGATCATTGTGCCCATCTTAGGCTTAGGAAGTGACGACGGGCACGCATTGTACGCGTTTCATCCTTTCCTAGTCGCCTTGACTCAGGCTCACTTGTCTGATTTTTCCCCCTAGCTCCACTGTGCACAACTGAACGTTTGATGATGGGTCGGTGAACAACGTGATGCAATGTGTATGGCTCATATTGGGACTGTCTACTCTGCGCTTGTGGTATCCCTTCCCCAGTCCACTATCCTTAACATGTTCTGTTCATCACATTTCACGTCGAGTCACCCATCGTTTATCACAGTCAACAAGTTCTTTCTTCTAGTTCCCCTCGAAAGTCGTTGATCTGATCTGCGCTTGTGGACCGACCTCGGCACCATCAATGCAATAATTCTCCGCTTTACGTTTAAAGTTACTGCGCTGTTCCCGCTATTATACGGCGCAGGCGGGTGCTGCACGCTGACGGTGTGTGCCTTCCCACCACCCGCCCTTTCGACGGTTCACAGACTGTTTGGGGAGATAACACCTCATCAGACGTCGGGCTCCAGTGTGTTCGGGATGCTCACACCCACCGCGCGTGAAGGCGGTGTAGGCCTGGCTCCGGATCTTGTATCTGTTAAGTCAGCTTTATCCGACACATCGGCCAGAATTTCATGTATCATGTCCCCCCTGCGGCCTTTCGAAGAAATAATGCTAAACTCGATTGGGCTTACGGTTACGGCACCCACTGCCACAATGCGAAAGTATTTGTATTATTCAAGGCGGTGCTCACTGTGCGGGCGATCGGGTAACCCAATGAACAAACGATGTGCTTCTTGGTCCCAGGGCCGACTTTCCCACATGTTTTTTTCAAACCTCTGACGGGGCCGGGGCCAACGATGAAAAATATAGACCCATTCTATTCGGGCTACTGTTAGGATTTATACGAATGTGCGAATACAACATTCAAACGTTGTATAGTATCAATAGAATTAATTTAGAACGAAGATTAGGTTGTTGTTCGAATTATATTCCTTCAGATGGGCTCCACGATGGGCTCCACGATCCTCCTTGCGCGCTCTTCCCAATATATTTTACTGGGTTTCCGAAGGAGTCGTGGGGACCGGTAGAGGCTCCTCGTCAACAGGTGAAAGCCAAGGCTCGTTGCTTCCACAGGCGGGGCACCACGTCGCCGTTTTTGTCAGGGTAGGCCCTCGACACTTTTTGAATCGATATACCCCATCTCCATCCGCTGCCCGTTCGTTGATGGCCCTCGCACCGGGGTGCAAGAACTCGGGGCGGGAGGCATTATCGGCTTGCTATCGGCGGCGCAGCGAAAGCAGTCAGGCTAAGCCCCTACGACTCGACGAGAGGTGACAAATACCTGCTCGCAAGCTCGTTGAGCCTCCGGGTGGGGGCTGTCGCCTGATGACGAAGCGGGGGCTTTCGTCCCCTCCGTGTTGGGGTGTCCTTTCTCTGTCATAGAGGTGGGATGGAAATAGAAAAAGAGCTGCGGAAATGGTGGGCAAGCACGGTTTTTAAGTGAGAACTCCCACACCTGCCCGCCACCCAAAACTTTCTCTCGTTTCACCAGGGTTACGAAGGAGGCCTCCGGGAAACCCAGATTGGGAGCCATGCGATGCAATCGCGTTGGGGTCAGAGGCCACAAGTCTATATTAATTTGATGAGCCCTGTTCCTGGAAGTTTCTCCAGTTTGCGCGGGGAGGTTACATAAGAGAATTGATTGAAGATTTTCGACGGGTCGAGGGACTTCCTGGTGCACGTTGCGCCTATAGTTCTTCGGCTATACGGGGAAGAGTTTCCACTAGCCTTAACGGCCTTCGAACCTGAGAGATGGGAAGTTACGCGGGAGGAAGATGTAATCATTTAGGCAATGCACACGGCCGGGCACTGGCATGTCCATCCCATCCCTCGTGATTTGGTGACCATTTCGTCCACAACGTTTATAGAATTAAAAAAACGTACATTCCGGATGACTGAACCAAGCCAATTCACGGAAGCTGCTGCGAGGGAATCCTCAGGCGCTGGTGGGCAGGGGGAGAGGGAGGTTGCGTTCAGGACCAGAGGGGCGTTGAGCCGAATACACTACCCGACGTGCCATTTATACCAGTTGGGAGCGCCAGGGAAAATACTTAGATGCACCTCAGAGACCAGCGAAAGAGACCCTTGATTTGTCTACCGAGAACAAGAGCCCAGATGTTCTTGAACAGCAGTAGTTGTCTTCGTTGACAGATGGCTTGTCAGTGCTGCCATGACGAATCACGTGCCTTCCTAATATGTGTTTGCTGGGACCCACGACGCTTTGCTGGGACCTGCGACGCTTTGCTGGGACCCGCCGCCACCCGCGACGCTTTGCTAGGACCCGCGACACTTTGCTGGGACCCGCGACGCTTTGCTTGGACTCGGTCCTGGCCCATATAGTACTTCCTATGTCCTGTGGCACCGCCAGCAGTGGCCGTGCTGATGTCCCTTCTCTCACACTCCGTTGAGATCATGATACGAAAAGCTTTGTAGACGGCCACTGGTATCCTCATAGCCGCAACTTCCTGAATCACAAGGTCACCGAAGCTGGGGTAGTAGGACCTTTGGCCTGCTCGATGTTTGCTCTGTGGTATGTGGGAGTGCTAATTCAAACGGTGAGGTGTGGATTGAATGAGGAGAAAACAGGAAAGGAAGGCAACACAGTGGCACTATAGGAGAGGAAGAAGGCATGGGAACGCGCACGACTCGGAGGGGGACCGACGTCACCGACCGAGCGAAAGGCAACGAGGCAGACGTGACAAACGCGAGAGAGCGATCGCGCGCACGTCGCACATGAAGCGAGGAGCGAGGGTGCACGAAAGAATGAATATATATTGAGGTTGAGGCCGTTGAGGTTGAAGCGTTGAAGCTTTGAAGCTTTGAAGCGTTGAAGAGCCCACGCTCCGTCCTTGCGGCACGACCGCCGCCGCCGTGGAGAGACCCCTTTAATTATACCAATTATTCATGAATATATGGTATAGCGAGGACCGCTTTGGAGAAGCGATCAATATCACTACATCATTTGGAATGCCTCCAGGAGGAAGCAGACGAAATTGGGGACGACTCGGATGCCGTGACTGCGGGTAGCGCGAGTGAGATTTGACATGCTTGACAATGACAAGACAGGCCTGGATGGCGACTGACTGTGGCACTGGCAGACGGCGTGATGAGACGGCGAGCAAGGGGAGAGAAAGACTGGGGAAATGGTACAGCATTAGGGAGGCACTGGCACGCGCGGCGAAAGCCGAGGAGTTATAGATGTGGAAAAAAATGCACGTTGCACCTCTCCCTAGCCGCCGGGTGACTCGGAGGCTGTGGGCGAGCCTGAGGGGGCGAGAGGGTTCAAAGCAAGTTGCGTCATCGTCATAATTACAATCATTATGGATCGTTATAAGACGTGTGGCATATACTGTCTCTGCATTCTTCCTGCCCCCTTCAATTCACATGGCTGCTATTATCACCGTCTTCTCATTGTTCCTGATAGATGTCGTGCCACATCTCAAAGTGGACCTCGACGCATTCAACTGGGAGTGGGAGGAATGTCTCGCCTTCCCCGTCAACAGACTTAACAACTTGCATCTTTCGTTGAAGCCATTCAAATGGATTCAATACACCACAGGGGTGGTTGTTGGAGCGCGTGGTGAACTCTGCACTGAACGCAACTTGCCCAATCCCGATCCTATAAACTACGACTCTGGCCTCTCTGCCGTATCCATCAACCTATACTACCATACCACCGGCCAATAAAAGCACTGTACGTTTCTGATTGACATACGTCTCACCAACACAAGGATGATCACATCTAGCGCGGTGAGCACTCGTCGAGAGCATTTCCACCTGGATGTGGAACAGCAGGATGGGACCTGTGTGGTGACAGGAGGCCCCCCGCAAAGCTGCGCACATTCTTCCTCACAGCAAGGGTGACACGGTGAGACCCCTGTACGACATTATCCCTTGCTTACAACTCATTCAGCGGCAGTACATTGAGACATTTTCAACACACCGGCATCAAGAATCTATTAAAGCCTATGCAAAGTGTTTATTGGCCAGACTGGGGGTTGAACCCGGGCCTTCTGAATATATACCAGGTGCTCTACCTATTGAGCTACCTGGCCTTGGGTTCATTTAGAATTGGGAATATATCTTCACAATTGTACTGCCCTGTATGGTATTGCTGCTATCGTTGCGGCCATTGCCGATTCACCTTGTTGTCCCACCACACTGCAAAAAGACCACCAGTTTTCTAACTTTTTGGGAACGAAAAATGGGTTACTGACCTCCCCGATTACAAAAGCGTGCCAGTTTTCGCAGTTGTAGAAGTGTCCCCTGCAGTGTGGGCTGGAACGGGTGAGTGTTATCATTTCTCGTTTCCCCACGGCTAATCGTTGGCGGTAACTTACAGAACCCAAATGCTTTGACGATGTCTGCCTTCTCTTGCGGAGAAAAGGGCGCATAGCCGCTCTCGGTAAGGAGGTGTGTTGCCAATTTGCTGTACTCCTTCAGGTACTTATCCCCTCTTCTGCGGCAATTTTCTCCGAACCACACACCTCGCGGCTTTCAATTGGTCCATATTCACGTTTTCTGCCAGGGAGCTACGCATATCAGTCCCCTCCAATGCTTTCACCTGGGCGGTGGTGGCGCTTGCTCTCAGCTCCTTTCGATGGGCGATGTCCAGCAGGCCTTCCCGAGCCAGTAGTGTGCGCTCGGTTAAGATCTCGAAGCGGAACAGTTCGAGTTTTCCGCGGAAGATGTACATCCCGGCGCGCGCAGCAAGGCGCGAAATGGTCGATTTTTGGGCGATAGCTCGGGCCTTCTCTGCGTCGCGGATGCAGGACTCGTAGATGAATGACACGTAGGAACGCTATAAATACGCGTGCACGGTAACGTCTTCGTCTCGGGAAACGCTGTTCAGACCCGCAATTCGGCTCTGTGCAATTTCCGCCAACGTGTACCGCCATTCGAGGGACAGGAAGAAGCCTTCCACTTGAAAGCGCGTGTCTGCCTTGTGCGTGCGGAGGTTGTCCGATCCATTCCTCCATCGCCAATGGCTCCGGTTTCTCACAAGTACGCTCTGGGTCGTCAGCAATTCCATTCCAACCAATTCCAGACGGTACAGAAGCCGGGGAAGCTAAAGTTTGCTTAGTATCCAGAATCGATATTGTTCCCTCATCTTCCCCGCCCAGGTCGTATTCGTTATTCTCAAAGCCCCCTGGTAGTCGCTTCTTCGACCCCTCCAACTGAAACCAGTCAACCGCACGCGTCGAGGCGAGCGCAACCAATGGAGATGCCCAACACGAACATCCGAGTCCTCGTCCGTGCCGGATGATCCCCTCAGCATCCCATCTAGCTCTCCACACCGTCCTCTTCACAGCCCCTCCTGACTCTCTCCTCTGCTCCAACTGCACTCAGGCTGGCAACTCATCCACCACTGAGTCCCCCCGACCTGTGTCTGCGCCAATTCACCGCCCCTTCGTATTCTCCTCCGGTAAATGCACTATTCGATACCTCGACATCGCTTGCCCTTGTCCTCGTGCTGCCTCAGGCACCCATTGTCCCAGCCTCAGGCACCCCGCTCAGGTGACTCTCGATGATCCCCCCCCTCGAGACGATACCCGAGGGGGATCCAGACACCACACGGGCTCCTCATTCTAAACTTGGAGGCCTTGCCGTCGAGCTGGACAGCACCAAGCTCAAGTGGAGGAAGAAAATGAAGAAACACAAGTGCGTAAAGGCCCTCTGTGTTCGTTGTCGTTGTGATCCTGGTCATTGTGCCCATCTTAGGCTTCGGAAGCGACGACGGGCACGCCTTGTACGCGCTTCATCCTTTTCTTAGTCGCCTTGTCTGATTTTTCCCCCTAGCTCCACCGTGCACAACGTTTGAAGATGGGTCGGTGAACATCTATGATCCGTGACATGTTCTGTTCATCACATTTCACGTCGAGTCACCCATCGTTTATCACAGTCAACAAGGGTTTTCTTCTAGTTCCCCTCGAAAGTCGTTGATCTGATCTGCACTTGTGGACCGACCTCGACACCATCAATACAATAATTCGCTGCTTTACGTTTAAAGTTACTGCGCTGTTCCCGCTATTATGCGGCGCAGGCGGGTGCTGTGCCTTCCCACCATCCGCCACCACGTGTGAAAGCGGTGCAGGCCTGGCTCCGGATCTTGTACTGTATCTGTTAAGTCGGCTTTTATCCGACACAATTGGCCTGAAGTTGATGTATCATGTCTCCCCTGCGGCCTTTTCAAGGCGCTCACCGAGTCACCGTGCGGGCGATCGGGTAACCCAATGAACAAATGGTGTCCTTTTTTGATCCCAGGGCCGACTTTCCCACATGTTTTTTTTAAACCTCTGACGGGGCTGGGGCCAACGATGAAGAATAAAGACCCATTCTATTAGGGCTATTGTTAGGATTTATACGAATGTGCGAATACAACATTCAAACGTTGTATAGTATCAATATAATCAATTCAGAACGAATATTAAGTTGTTGGTCGAATTATATTCCTTCAGATGGGTTCCACGATGGGCTCCAAGGTCCTCCTTTGCGCGTTCCTATATTTTTTACCGGGTTTCCGAAGGAGTCGTGGGGAGCGGTAGAGACTCGTCAACAGGTGGAAGCCAAGGCTCGTTGCTTCCACATGCGGGGCACCACGCCACCGATTTTGTGAGGGTTGCCCTTCGACACTTTCGGCAGCGATATACGTCTCCGTCCGCTGCCCCTTCGCTGATGGCCCTCGCACCGGGGTGGGAGAACTCGGGGCGGGAGGCATTATCGGTTTGCTATCGGCGGCGCAGCGAAAGCAGTCAGGCTAAGCCCCTACGACTCGACGAGAGGTGACAAATACCTGCTCGCAAGCTCGTTGAGCCTCCGGGTGGGGGCTGTCGCCTGATGACGAAGCGGGGGCTTTCGTCCCCTCCGTGTTGGGGACCTTGGGGTGTCCTTTCTCTGTCATAGAGGTGGGATGAAAATAAAAAAAGAGCTGCGGAAATGGTGGGCGAGCACGGTTTTTGAGTGAGAACTCCCCCACACCTGCCCGCCACCTAAAACTTTCTCTCGTTTAACCAGAATTACGAAGGAGGCCTCGGAAAACCCAGATTGGGAGCCAGTGCCATGCAGTCACGTTGGGCGACGGAGGGCCACAAGCAGACGTCTCTTTATCTGATGAGCCCTGTTCCTGGGTCGCAAAGTTTCTCCAGTTTACGATGGGGAGGGTACACGAGAGAATTGATTGAAGATTTTCGACGGGCCGAGGGACTACCCAGTGCATATTGCGCCTATAGTTCTTCGGCTATACGGGAAAGAGTTTCCACTAGCCTAAACGGCCTTCGAACCTGAGAGATGGGAAATTACGCGGGAGGAAGATGTAATTATTTAGGCAATGACTCGGAGCACAGCACACGGCATGTCCAATTGTCCATCCCTCGAGATTTGGTGACCATTTCGTCCACAAAGTTTATAGACGTAAGAAAACCTACATTCGGGATGGCGCCGGTGGGCAGGGGGGAGAGGGTGGTTGCGTTCAGGACCACTGGCAGAGGGGCCGCGTTTTGAGCCGAATACACTACACGACGTGCCATTTATACCGGTTGGGAGCACCAGGGGAAAATACTTAGATGCACCTCAGAGGCCAGCGGAAGGAGACCCTTAATTTGTCTACCGAGAGCCCAGATGTTCTTGAACAGCAGTACTTGTCTTCATTGACAGATGGCTTGTCAGTTGCTGCCATGGACGAATCACGTGCCTTTCTAAGATGTTTGCTGGGTCCCGCGACGGCTTTGCTTGGACCTGGTCCATGCTTCATGTGTCCGTGGCACCGCCAGCAGCGGCCGTGCTGATGTCCCTTCTTTCGCACTCCGTTGAGATACGAAAACGTTTGCAGATGACCATCCTCATAGCCGCAACTTCTTCAGGCTGTACAGTATCACAAGGTCACAACACAAACCAACGTGCCTGTCTTCGTCTCCCACTCATCAGGAATCGGGCATTTTAGTTTCGAGAGGTTGCTCAACTTGAGCAACCACCAGAAACCACCAGAAACAAGTAAAAACCCGGAAACTTGGACACTTGGAAACACAGGTCCACTTTCCTGGAAACCTGTCCGGATGCTCTGGGCTGGAAACCTATGGAACCTGCTGAAACTTAAGAAGAAAAAAACCAGGACCAGACCGGACTGCAACCGGACCTCCGGTTGCCGGTTGCGGTTGCCCAGAGATTGGCACGGTAACTGGTTGTGAACGGGAGCCTAGCAGGCCAGGAAATCGCCACGTCATCCTCTCCTTTTCGTTGCCAACGCCCTCAGCCGCCGCCAGTTCACCCACGCCGCCCCTATCAATACTGTACCATCATCAACCTCGAAGATCCGTCGCTGTATGTCAAGCCCTGGACTCCGTCATCAACTTTGAGGACACGTCGCTGTCAAGCCCTCGACGGCCTGGACCCCGAAGACAGACACGTCGCCGTCGCGGTCAAGCCCTGGACCTCATGAACTCATGGGGTCAAAACTCGCACCGGCCGACTCGATTCTCGCTGTCCGCCTTGACCCTCGCCACCATCGCTGGTGGTGGGTCCTATCGGGTTTTTTGCACCACGTTGATCCCCGCGGCTCGGCCTCGTCACTGTCTAAATCATTGGTGACTTTCTTTCCCTTCGTCTTTCGTAACTCCCTTGTGCTAAGTTTTCGTTATTCATAGTCACCGCGTCGCCACCCACCGTGCCACTCTGGGCTCACCCTCTCACTCGCAACAGCGTGGGGTGTGCGACAGCACTTGGCCGCCTCATTGACCCCAACACCCCCTCGCTCTCAAACGCATGAGGGGTGTGTGCGACAGCGCCCGCCCCGTCGACCCCGACACTAAACAAACGCATGGAGCATGTGCAACAGCGCCCGGCTACCTCGTCGAACCCGACACCCCCTCACTCGTAAGCAAACGTGGGGCGTGTATGCGACAGCGTCCGCCCGCCTCATCAACCCCGACACCCCCTCGCTCGCAAATGCGTAGGGTGTGTGTGTGTGTATCCGAACGCTCGGCCGCCCCGTCGACCCCGACACCCCACGCAAACTCAGGGCGACATGCTCGGCCGACCCCAACACCCCTCGACCCTCTTG